AAAAATCTATCATTTTAACTCTTGTAAGCCCTGTTAATAATCATAATAGTAATTATATTTTCCTATATATTCCTATATAATTAAAAATAAAAAGTAGAATCATAGATTAAATATAATACTATACTAAATCTATGGAATTATTATTAACTATCAATCATATAAAGTATATATATTTATAGTTTAAATTGAATTATATTTTAATATGCATATAGCTTAATAAAAAAATCTTGTAAATTATAAATCAAATTTATGAATTCATACTTTTTAATTTACTTTCTAGGTATATCTATGATAATAATGTAGATTTAACTTTAAACATGTATGCCATAGATCCTATTCAAATTTAACTTCCAAGTTATTCGTTCCAAATTATGATACAACATTTTGGCTTTTGAGACTATTTAGGTATATTGCCTCAAAATATAGTATGGTATAATTATAAATATGTTTTTGATAGTTATATTAATTCAATATCATAAAATTAACACATTACAAGTAACACAAATAAACAAAAATTACCTTTCAGTTGTTACAGTGACATTTGGAATAGTTCTAGATAAGTGTCCAGCTACAAATAAAACAAAAAATGGTATGTAATCAAATTTATATTTCAAATAAAAAAAACATGTCTAAAATTTGTATGAATGAAAAGTATGAATGTATGATGAATAGTATGATTAATAATTCATTCCTAATTGTTGGTAGATATTATAATGTTTAAACAGTAAACTATTAAATAAAATTTCTATTCCATAAAATTCCATTTTTAAATAATTAAATTTTTTGTCAGTATAAACAAATATATACAATGCGCATTTTAAGACTATGACCAGTTCGCCATCTAAATAAATTTTTTTCCCATGTTACCATATAAATAAAGTATAAATAATTATAAAATTGAAATTAAAATTAAATAATTATGATATTACCTTCTGCTCCTAACGTAAGATTATCGACTTCCAAACTATTTATGAGTGTGGAAGATTCTATATTATCAAAATCTTCTCTAAAAATAATTAGAATACAACAAATAAATAACTATTAAGTCCAACTTATAAAAAAAATTTAAAAAAATAATTACTTTTGATCAACAGTGGTGATTAATGAATCTACCCATTCTTGTATAGTAACAGGACTTCTATTTCGAGGAGTATCAGAAGGTGGTCTTTTTAATTGACCTTCATTAGTTTCTTGAATATTTTGTTCATTGAGTACATATATTTCTTCCAAATTTTCTACCATTACTTCAGGAACTTGATCATAATCTTCGGCCATTGCAGTTGTATTTTCATAATTTGATGTGCTTTATAAGTCAGCCAAAAAATACTTAAAAAAATTTTAGAATCGTATATTACATGTTTAAATAAATAATTCATAATACGTACTTATTTTAATTGTACTCAATAGTAAATAATAATCAATAATTACAATTTTAAATAGATAAATTAAAATTGCATCCATTACTTTTGAATTCCCAAAAATAAAATTATGAGTAATAATATTAACCCTATCAATATTGTGAAATATTTTCATTCTTTATTTAATGTTTTCACTTTTGCAGTTAAAATTGTTAACAGAATATATTTAAAACTATTAATAAATACAAAATTATATTCTTTTAAAATATTACAATTATTATTACCAATTATCTATCTAAAAATCTGATTAACTATTTTTTTTTCACTCAGAACTATCATGCATAAAATAGGTAACCTACATTATAAAATATATTATTAATATTAGATAGGTACTGATAAATAATGATTTATTTTTACACAAAATCGAAGAAATTAAATTTTATTATTTAGATAATAGTTATGGCTTACCAAAAATATTACAACATATTAATAAAAGTAAGTAAACTGTCCTATTCAGTTTTAATAATTTTAAAACTGAACATAATTTTTTTCATACATTAACAGGTAAATGTACTTCAATTCAATTAGTTATTTCTATACATTAACTAGATATACTAAAACAAAACAATATTATGAAAATTGCACATGAAAAAATAATTGCAGTAATTTAATAAAGTCAAAACAATTATTTAACAATAATAATATTATTTGTATTTATATTTTAGAATCGTATTTATCACGAATTGAAGTATATGATAAGGTCATAAAATATAAATGTATAATGTAGCATTGATAGTGCCCTCTTTTCTATGATAGTGCTTCACTGCTTATCAACAGACAACAAGTCTCCTCATTTCACCAGCAGACAGCAGCTCGCATCAGGAACTAAGATAGATCCGCCGAGCACAGATTATAATATGAAATCCTTTCGTATAATCTGTGATGGATCTAACTTGGTTTGTATTCTAAATTCTCATATTATGCTCTATGATTGACAGTGTGTCTTCTTTACACCGACACACCGTGCTACGATCTTAGCCCGTGCCTAGTGGCGGCTGCGTAACTAACATTTACCATTCGCACGAGCACGTTGACCGTTGTAGATAATTTTATTTACATTGTTCACACGAAACACTACTATTATTGCCAATATGTATTTTTTTATTACACGATTGTTGATTGTGATTGGTGGTCCTGAGTAATGGCCAATTGGAATGGACCTCAAATTGTCGACGACTAACGAATCGTTAATAGCACCCTAATTTTTTTAGACAATACAACACACAAACTTAAAATAAAACATTTCATCAATTTCACTTAATATTTGTTAACGTTTAGCTAGAATATACGAGTTATTAATTGGTAGGTACTTTGTTTTGCAAATGAAATAATTGCTAAAAAACATAATTCATCTCTCATTTGTAATATATCCTAAGTAACAGTGGTAAAAAATGAAATGAAAATATGAATAAGAGTATAATATATTATTGAAAACATTTTTCCTAATTTTTATCACATACCTACGTGTAGTTATGTCTTATGTCTAACATATTATTATACATATTACCAGTAAGTATGGGTTGTATAATAAGTAGGTACTTAGTGTGACATGTGAACGTGCTTCTTCAGCCATGCGGTAGCGACATGTTCTGTATAAAAACTTTACTAAGGATATCTATATATTTACAATCAAGGATTAATTATAAATTATAATAAATATATCCTGATAAAAAAGTACCTATGGATAGCATAATAAAAGAGTTTAAAAAATAATTAATGTGAAAAGTTGAAAAGTTTTAAAGATATGTAGGTACATAAGCAAGTATAGAGTGGTTTCGGTTTTGTTTAAAAAAAGTTGAATAACCCACATCAAAAAAAAAGTTTGACCCCCTCCCCTTTAAAGGTTAGGTTAACTTCAAAATTTAAGGTATACCATCATAGTATTATAGGGGCATCGGGACAAGTATCCTATCCCGTATAACAGCCCCTTAGATCATATTATACTTAAAATAGGTATCAGTATGACCAGTATGTACCTAATAATAATGTGCCACGATGAAAAGCATGTTTAGAAACCCCTAAATAAATATGATATTTAAGCATAATTAAGTTCCAAAAATCAGATTTTAAATAACTGCATTGTTGTAGAAAAAGAAGGGGTTGGATATGCTAAGTGAATCATCATGTATTTAGAATTCAAAGGTACAGCCTATGCGGCAGTGAGTCACATTTGTTTAATAATATTATATTATTATCTTGTGACACAGCTCACAGGCATTGTCGTAACTTGCATTTTAGGGGGCCGTGAGCAGTGACATAAAACCTAAAACCTTTTTTAAAATAAACAAAAATAACTCTATATTACCTCAACTTCAAAATTTTTAATTATGTCTATTAATCGAATAATTTATCAAACTATCAAAGTTTTTTTTCAACTTTACAATAGTTTACATCATTATTTCTATCGATATTAAAGCTAGACATCGAAGACGCTCTTGACGCTCATGGTATTTCCTTAAAAGTTCTTAATTATTTTCAGTTTTGAATCCGATCGTTCTGCAGTCTGCACTCTGCACTCTGCAACACTGCGCCAGCACTGGTTACCGGGAGAACCAAACGTAAAATATTAATATTATATCTGCAAATGTCTGCGAAACTTGATGACAATAAGAAGTTTTTATTGTAATTAAATCTGCTAGTTCACTTATGATTGAAATCGTATTAATTATATTTTTTTGAATTGTTCTCATACTACGAATTTCTGAAATAAATTTTTCATTTATGTTTTTTTTATTTTGTTGTTGTTATTGATATCCCGTTAACTAACATTTTTAGTTTGGAGGCCTGCGGCATTGAGCCACCTAGGCCACCCTATCTTTACGCCACTGATGTTGTCACAATGTCACCCCTCTCACCCTATATACGTTTGTGAACTAATATTGTGACACTGCAACTTACTTATACATTTATATTATTATTATTATTATTATTTCAACTACACTGTTATGGTTAAAGGTTTAGTTGAATCCGCTGAGCTCCGAGTTACTTCCGGTTTATACGTAGGTACCTACCAATACAAAATGAAAATATGCATACAGTTACAGTATACTTCTCCCTATTTTTAATCAAATATTTATGGTCTAGTGATTCTTTTCATTAACCATGTTGTCAGCCATGTACCTGTGCATATAATATCATATACACGTTCCTACCTATATACCTATATGTTTGCTTGCGGCTCATAATATGTATACATCGATATGTATTCATATCTATACATTCGTTGAGCTTATATACGTATATATTGTATATAAATATACACTCATCACATGAATACATTATATATATGTGTCACATTCTAGAATTCCACATTTCCACATGTCATTATATTGAGTTTGGATTAAATTGAATCGATTCAATGCCTGTACAGCTATACGGCTATATACTACTATACCTATACTATATTATGCTGGGTATATAGATTCTATAGCATTAATAATAGCCAATTAGGTATACAGCTAGAGTGTGTTTATTTTAGAGTAAAAACAGGAACCGGAAATAGGTTTACGGTTAACAGTTTTAAATATGTCCTTTCTGATTTAGAATTATAGCCTATAGGTATGTATGCTGCAATATAATTGTGTATAGTTCGAAACCTATTCTACCTACCAGCTGCTACAGTCAGACCATCATAGCAGTGTTCCAAGTGTAGTGAACGAATGAACCCAAACATTTTGCAATTTTTAAAATATCATAGTGTTAAAATTAGATAGTTACTAGTTAGCTTAAAAACGCAATAATAATACAAAAGTCGATTTAAAATAAATTGAAGTACGTATTGTATAAGTACTATTCATCTAACTTTAGTATTTTTTAAATGTGAGATTTAATTTTAAAGTAAGTACCTATACTAATAATTGTACCGTATATATGCATGGTGGTATTTGAGGGGTGTTCAGGGCCGTCTCGAAGGGAGGTTCTAGGGGGTGTCCCAACCCCAAGCGTACAATAGGTATATGTCAGTTGGCACATTGATAATTAAGTATTTGAGTTTATAATTTATTTTTACAGTTTTTAAATAGTTTTGTAAGTACTACAAATTACAAATATGTCCTAATAATATATTGTAATTTATAATATACTATGAAGGAATATAAGTTCATTTTCCGATTGCCAACTAACACAAATACTCTAATGATATTTAGGTACTTAACAACGTTCGAGTACATAATAATTATTATTTATTATTATAACAGTATGTCAGTATACAAAGTTGCCTATACATTCCAATAATCATTGAGTTATTTTTAATAATACTGTTATGATAACTGATGAGAAACTGTTGTGTGCTGACGACTGTAATTTCAATTTAAAGAAGTAAATAATAATGCGTATATTTTATGTTGACTCGTCTCACCTAGACATCGACCAAGTGATAATATTCTAAAATTGTTTTACTTAAATTATATAGTCAGTATTAACAGTATTTAATACTTAATTAATATTATTGAATTTGTTATTTTGTAATTTGTATCGTTATTAATTCCAATCATTCAATGATAGTAAAATTAATATGCAACATGTGTTCTGAATACTGTTATTGAAAATATTTTATTCTTATATACTAGTCAAGATGTGATGAAAAAATATATGTATATAAGATAGTAAAATAGAGAACATAATAAAATATTTAATATTTTGTAATATGATGTAAAATATGTCTACTGATTACTATGTATGTAAGTAGGTAGGAGATAGTTGTCGAGCCCCAGTGGCGTAGTGAAGGGGTTTTCTAGAGGCCTTGGCCTCTATTGGATATTAGGTAGGTGGGTGGGTGGGTAGGTACTAGGTTTTTGCAGTCTGTGCAATTAAAAATTAGAGTAAAGATGTTTTTTTTATACAATAAATATAAAATTACTCTTGAAATTTGAATTTAAGTGTAAATATTAATTTTAGGGGGGTAGGTAGGTTGGTATTCTGCATGTGGCCTCTGATAAAAAAAGTAGTTCACCACCAGCAATGCGAGAACATTTTTTTGAGTTGGCACATTAATGCATCTCACCCCCCTTTATTATTTCGTTTGGGACGGCCCTATGGGTGTCTCTCCCAGTCATAAATATTTTTGGGCTCTAAAATGTGGTCAAAAATTTGTTTAGTTACTTGTGAATTATTAAAACTTTTAAAATTTAAATTTGGCCTTGCAAATAGTTAAAGTCTATAGATATAGTTATAGGTGGGTATATGTTATTCATTATGTTATATAGTATGTAACAATGTAAGTTGAGTAGCTATCATTAAGAGTAGGAAGGTACTATTAAATATTAATACAGTTAAACATTACTTTAATATATTAAGTATCTAGGAACTTACTATTTAACATAATATAATAGCCACCTTTCACAACTTTCAAAACTTTTGCAGATGAGTATAGGTAGACCATGTGGAATTCGGAAGGAAAAACACTAAACGAAAATAATAGTGCACACTGTAAAACAATATTTAAACAAACTTTAAAATTTACCAAAGATATACCAGAACAAAGAATTTCACCTGAAGGATTTTTAATACGAGACTGTGGTTGCGTCATGAGATTTTTACCTAATTTAGATAGTAAACTAAGTAAATATAATGCACACTAAAAATTTATCTACTGCTTACTTATATAAAAATGTTTTATTTGTTCATTAGATAAGAATAAGTTACAGCTCTCGACCATTAACAAGAATCAAAATCAAAAAAACATCAGTTATACACATCATCGTAATGATTTAAATCATACAAAAGTTTTATCAACAGAAATGTACAAATATATTTTGTATTTAAACTTCATTCATTATTAACATATAATCCAATGATATTTGATTATATTTTTTTGATTTAGATCACTGGAGCAGTACATTCTGTTATTATAATTTATTATTAATGAAAATTAAATATATGAATCCCGAAAAAAAAGTTCGCGAAAATAAACACACCGCGGGAAAAAATCCACAGGAAAATGTTTAAATATAAATATGATATATTGCGTTATGAGTTATAATTATAAATTGTTTTATATTGAGTTATTAGGTAGTTAATGAATAATGATATATGGGTAATAGGTAGAACCTGCGGTCAAAAAACATCAGTCTTACTGCAGTGCCGCAACTAAGGTTAATAGGGCCGAGGTGCAATACCAAATAATAGGGCCCCTTACTTACCAAAATTTTACAACATTTTTTCATGAAAAATATATTTATATATATAAACGTTAAGTATCCACCACAATTTAAATTTATTTTTAACTAAAAAAATACAAATTTACATTAGATAAAAACATTTACATTACAAAAATAATAACATATTTATAATATTAAAATTACTTTAAAAAATTTTTTTTTCTGCTTTTTTGATTGGCAAAGTCAATAATTAATTTTTCTACATCAAGTTCTTCAGTGCGAGCTCTTTCTATATTTAATATACTTATGTTTGTTAGTTGGTCTTGAGATATCGAGTTTCTTAAATAGTTTTTAATCAGTTTAAGTTTAGAAAATGACCGTTCGGCCGATGCTACAGTCACTGGTAAACTTAAAAATATAATACAAGATGTAACAACTTCACTATACAAAGATGATAGGTCGTTTTCTATTAAATATAAACATAATTCTTTAATTGTTTTCATATCAGTGTTTTTTATAAATTCCTTTAAAGATAGAACTTGACTAGTTAAATCGGAAGTTACGTCAGTTTTGTAAAACTGAATAAAATCATAGCATGATTTTACTATTTCTGCT